TTATTCACAGTGCACTCATTACTCTTAGAGAATGAAGCATACTGTTCCAAAAAGAAGCAAAGAGTCAGGATGCATTTATGTAGGTACCTAAATCCAGATGTAGAAGTTTAGCCTGAGGTACCCAGACTGGGCACATCAACACAAGCACACTATATCCTCTTTGGCTCTTGCATCATCTTGGGTGGTAAGTTCTTATGCTCTCATATGACAACTTGTTGAGAATGTCAATCACTCAGCAGCCGCTATGAGCAACTGAATCAGTCAAAAAGTTGTCAGCAGGGGAACCCCTGGAGGAGATCCATTGGATTCTCCCATATCTTTCAGTCATGTTGAATTCACCTCTGTTTCAGTTGGTCTATCTTTGAGGGTTTTGGGACCTTTCTCTGATTTTCTGACCCTGACCGCACTTTACTGCCAGCTCTTCTGTCAACAAAATAAAATCACCTCCAGAGAAGGGAAGTAGCTTCACTACTGGGAGTGTGGCTCCCAGTGACAAAGTGCTGTCCTCACCAGTGCTTTTCACAACTATAACTTTTGTCATTGACAGGTGTGTTTTTTTCACATCCCTGAGTGACAAAAGTTTGAGCAATGAAATTGCCAGTGTAGGCATAAGCTTAGACTGCTTGGTTCTTTGTAGTGGTTGGCATTTGGGACTTTAATGGCTAATTCCTGGATTATTTGTGATAGGTGACCAACATATGGATTGAATATTAAACGAACAAGCCTCAAGAATTTTTCACAACCTTAGAAATAATAAATATTTCTTTAAAATGTAAAATATATTGGTATACTCCTGAAAAAGTCATTTATAATATTATCTAACTCAGCATGTTATGTCTTAGGTCTCAATTTAGCATTCAAGTTTATGAGGCATGAGTTTATGAGACACTGTATTGCACAGCAATGAAGCATGCTACATTTACATACAAGAAGCAGGAAAGCAGCAAATGTGTCAGGGAAAGAATGAAGTAACACTCCAGAGAAATATAACAAAGCTGTAGCAGTGGTATTTTCAACTCTCATAATCAAAAGGGAAAAAAAGTCCACCCTTCTGAGCCTTAACAGTGGTCTTGGTGCACAGACACAACACAAGCCACCACTGCCAGCCAAGGCCACCATCAGACCAATTCACACTCCAATACTAGTAATATTGATTAATAAAAAGTGACCAAATGGCCCAGATTATTCACACTGAGTAGTATTTTATTCCATAAACAGTCACATTGACCTCAATATAGGTACTACTCAGGGCAAATAAAGTGATAATAATCTGGCTCTCTATTATTAAGTTCAGAGTCCCCATGTTATAAAAGACAACCACTACATACATATACACATAAAACAAATATCTTATGCGCTTGAAACTTTCCTGGGACGAAAGCTATTTTCTACAACTATAACATTTCTAGGTTTTATATTTGTATGTGGTGTGATACTAGTCTAAGTATCTTTCAGATCAAAAATTTGCTTCATAAGGATCAGACACATATGAAAACAGCAAAATGAGGATGAGCACAGGAAGACTAATTAGTGAATTCTTCTTTGTGACTAGAAGAACCCAGTGCTTTATGCGCTGAATAAATCATTCAGTTATCACCACATATATTTGGGAGAGCTTTCATGGGATTAAGCAAAATACACTGAAAGTTTAATAGTCTAAAAATTCATGCTATTGAAATGTTAGGCAGAGTAAACATATTAGCATAGCGGTCAATTTATGAAACTAAATGTTTGCTTACATGGACAATTATTTATAGCTGGATAAAATAATAGATGATGTTGTGCAAACATATTGCTCTTGATACAGTTAACAGTTTTTTATTCAATGCTTAATTTTATTTAAGGTAAAAAGCTGTTTTAAAAGGGTGTAATTATTTTCACAAACACTTTACAAGAAAAAAGCAACAGAATATTTGTAGGGAACTTCTATAGATTTTTTAAAAAAACAATAATATTAACAAAGCTCATATTCTTGTTACAGTCTGTATTTATTAGTAAATAATGATTGTAAAATGTGACTTAAATTTTACTATATCTTTCATTCCAAAAGATTCCAAAGTGCTTCAAAACTAAATTCAGTTGGACCACTCATGTAAATGAATTTACTAACGTTTGAATTGATAGATAATTAATAAGTCTCAGAGGGGTTGCCATGTTAGTCTGTAACTTTAAAAACAACAAGTAGTCCTATGACACCTTAGAGGCTAACAAATATATATACAGTAGACTTCCGATAATCTGGAACCTTTGGGACCTAGGTGGTGCCGGATTATCGGATATGCCAGACTATCAGGAGGTACTATAAACTGGTTATATATATACACACACTGTATACAGTATATACTGTATATAAAGTGTTTTTAACCCTTTTTATTGTACATACTGTATACAGTATACTGTAATGTTTGTTTTTTTAACCCTTTTTTACCCTTTTCTCTCGGTTCAGCTGCTGCCACTGTTGCCTTGTGACTCTTTTTTTACTCTGTGAGTGTGTGAGAGAGAGAGAGAGAGAGAGAGAGAGAGGACTCTGGACAACTGAAAATACAAAGGGATATTCAGAACATGGCAACCAGAGTTTGTATGTGACTGGAAGTCTTGGGTACAATACCTATTACTTTAGAAAAAGTACCTTGGAGTCATTAATGAGCACACATGGCCAACACTTCTGTTTTCTACATTGCAGAAAAAGAAAAAATTGGAACTTCAGCAGCACAGTCTCCACAACAATGTACAGTAGCAGGAAACTGATTCAACAATGGCTTAGAAAGAAACACTGAGACCACTTGCTGCATGCACTATTTATTTAAGTGTTCATTCAGTCTTTCATTCAAGTACTGATCCAGCATGTTTCCAATGAACTGGATGGATCACAAGGACTGGAATACAAAGTGGTATGACTGTAGATTTGTCATGAATCATACTAGACAGGTGTTTCAGCCTGGGCATGAGCTTGGGAACAGCAGTGTTTGCAGCAATATTTGCATTTCAGTTTTCAAGTTCTTGTTTGCTTATATAACCATTGGGGTTTCTACTCCATAGAAAGAGTGACAAGGCTATAATTAAAGCTTGCTAATAGCAAGCAATCAAATAGATTAGTGTAATGGCTAAGTATTAATGAGATAATATTTGTAAAATGCTATAACGGGGTAAATTAATATTATAATTATAGATTTTTTTTCCCTCGTGTCAATTACTGTGCTATTATTCCCAGAAGATAAGTTAGAGAGAAACTTTCTATTTGAATTTTTTTTACTGTATTAAGGATATATTGTGAATTTAATGTTTTTTAGATTCTTTATTAAAAATACATGTGGTTTTTTCCGCTCTTATCTCATGGGTTGACCCAAAGTCCTACCACCGTCACTCTGCTGTCTTTTTATGAAACAGCATGCTGCCTATATAACCTACTGCATCATGGACTAGTCCACAAAGAGGATAGAAGCCTACAACTGCTGTCCAAGAATGGAGGAAATTCATGATCTCATTTGGTAGGGAACTGAGTTTTGGTCCTAGGTTTTATTCGTGATGATGACCTGACCTAGTTTCAGTTTCAACTTATTTGCTATTTGTAAACAAAGTAGATGTTTGTAGATTCCTAGAAAGGAGTGTGTTTATGAACTCCCCTCCCAGAGCTGTGCAGGAGTCACTTAGTTTGCCATCAACAAAACAGTGAAACTGACTATACATAAAATGCTGGCAAATGCACAAAATAAACCTGGGGGGAAAAAGAAAAGAAAAGAAAAACATCCTCCTTCAATCTCTTCTAACTATAGTAACCTTAGGATTCCCTTGTAAGAAGAGAAGGTACAACATTTCCAATGGCAATATAAAATTCAAGTCGGAGCCCCTTTGAAAAGGAACAGTAAAATGTACCAGAGGATTCTCGAAATAAAATTAGACTGAAACATTGCTTTATAGTCCTATCTCAAAAGAGCACGTTTGAAGAGTTAGAGATTTCCATACATCAATATTTCCAGAGGCACAGCGAGAAGACTGAATATAAAATAAGGGAATTAAACCTTTCGGCCATGAGAAAAACTTACCAAAGAAATCAGAAATACCAGGAACTTACCTAGACATAGCCACTTCTTATTAGCTATAGCAACGTGTTCTGAACATGCCCTACAAACTGACACTATGGAACCCAAATAAAAAGACAGAAGATACTATTTACAGAATGGCTTTTATGCCATGAAACTATCTCTATATAATGTTCAGTTCTTGACAAAAAAAAAATCACCCTTCTCATAAAAGTAGCAATTATGTTTCTAAGTTTATCTAAAAGAAATATTAAAATAATGTCTCATTAATTGTGAAACTGAAATCCTTACAAATCTAAAAATACATCTGTGGAAAAGTACAAAGATCAGGAGAAGGTCTTTGTGACATAAGATCTCCTTATGTTTTGTACAATGTATTGGTAGCTTGATTTAGTACAGGGGTGGGCAACCTCTGACCTGTGGGCCACATATTGTTCATCAGGGTTAGGAGATGGCAGGCCACAAGATGGTTTATTATCTGAGTGTCTGCAGTTATAGACCCCGTAGCTCCCAGTGTCCATGGTTCACCATTTCCCGCCAACGGGAGGTACAGGAAGTAGTAGCTCAGCCCACACTGCTTCCTGCAGCTCCCATTGGCTGGGAATGGTGATCCATAGCTAGTGGAAGCTCCAGGACTCCATGCTTGTAGATGCTCAGATACACAAATTCTGGAAGCCCATCAGCAGCTAACCCTGATGAGCTGCGTACAGTCGGTGCACTGGAGGTTTGCCACCCCTACCCTGCAGAGTCATAGAAAGTAGGTCTAGAATTGAACTCAACTATGGTATTTTCAAGCTATTGAACTTAATCATCAATATACAGTAGCTAGTAAAGTATTTTAACATGAATAAAGAAATAATACATCAGTAACACTGATATAAATTTAATATTAAATATGTAATTTTAAAGGAGGCTATTTATTATCAAATATACACCTCTCCAATTTAGCATTCAACTTACGGAAGAAACAGAAGCCAAAATCTCAATAAGCCCGGTGCTCAAGGTAACATATGGGATCAGTGTATGACTAATCCCAGCTTCACTGAAAATGCTGTTCGTGTAGTACCAGATCTATATTAAAAAAAATTCAAAATGAATGCTTCATTAAAATTGTCATGGTTTGAAAAAGGGGATGTTAACATTTAATTTTAATATATACATAAAAACCTTTTACTAAAGCCAAATATTACATGATGAGCTGCCAAAGAGCGTTGAAATGACTATAAATCTTGAATTAGAGAGCACATGCTGGAGGTATAATGTATTTATTCAATAAAAAGTTAATAAATCTTTCTTTTGAAAATTGTGACTGTTTAATGTTTCACCACAACTATATCGAATAGTACGATCATCAATGTCTTCGTTATACTTTCTGGTGAATCTAGAAAATAATGTACTTGATGGAATTAAATGGTGAGAATTTTTATTACAAGATAAAGACTTGGAAATGAATATTAGAAGATACCAGCTGGACAATTACAGAAGCCAACTACTTGGTAATTTCCCTTGGGAATGATTTGAAGCTCTTGGAAGAATGTGAAAGAATTAGCCCAAGTTGTTGTGGGTGTCTTTGTTTGTTTTTTTGTTAGTCATCTGGGCAAGACATATGGCAAGCACTGCCTGGTTAGTAGAGCACCATAGGCCAACTGGATCTTAGAGTTTAATATTCTGAGGGATTTTCATATTGCAAAGAACTCTCAGATTAAATGAGAAAAAAAGGTGAATCCACTTAAAATACTGCCAGAGAATGGATTTAGTGCGCTTGCTATAAAGCAGGCAAAATACTTGCTCACGTAAGTTGATTAATTATGGGCTGAATCTGGCT